GAGGGACGACAGAGAAGAAGGAGCGAGAGAGAGAGAAGAAAGGGGGGTAGAGAGTGAGAAGAGAGAGAGAAACTGAAGAAAGGGAGATAGAGGGAACAAAGAAAGGGAGATAGAAAGAGCGGAGAGAAACAAGGAGAGAGAGAGAAGAGATAGAGATAGGGAGAGACAGACAGAGAGAGAGCGAAGAAAGGGAGATAGAAAGAGCGGAGAGAGAGAGAAACAAGGAGATAGAGAAGAAAGCGATAGAGAAAGAGAGACAGAAAGGGAGATAGAGAAGAAAGGGAGAGAACGAGAGAGAGAAGAACGAGATGACAGAGGGAGAGAGAAGAAAGTGAAGAGAGAGAGAGAAGAAATAGGAGAGCAAAGTAAGAGGGAGAGAGCAAAGAAAGAGAGAGAGAGAAGAAAGAGTGTGAAGAGAGAGAGAAGAAACAGAGAGAGATGGGGAGAGAAGGAGAGAGACAGAGTGAGGAGAGAGCGAGCGAGAGAGATGAAAACAAGAGAGAGAAGAAAGGGAGACAGGAGAATGATAGAGAGAGAGAAAGCGAGAGAGAGAAGAAAGACAGAGAGAAAGAGAAAGAGAGAGACGAAAGAGAGAGACAGAAGAAAGAGAGGGACAACAGAGAAGAAGGAGCGAGCGAGAGAGAAGTAAGGGGGGGTAGAGTGTGAGAGAGTCTGAAGAGAGAGAGAGAGTGAAGAAAGGGAGATAGAGAGGAGAAGAAAGAGAGAGATACAGAGAGAGAGACAACTAGAGAGACAGAGAGAGAGAGAGAAGAAAGAGAGCGAATAAAGAGGGCGAGGGAAGAAAGCGAGACAGAGATAACAAAGCAAGAGAGAGAAGAGAGTGAGAGGACAAAGAGAGAGAGAGAGAGAGCGAGAGAGAGAGAGAGAGAGAGAGAGAGCGAGAAGAATGAGAGTGAGAGACCAGACAGAGAGAGAGACAGAAAGAGTAGAAGGAGCAAGAAAGCGAATAAAGGGAGAGAGAGAGAAGACAAAGAGTGAGAAGAAAAAGAGAGAAGAAGGAGAGACAGAGAAGCGAGAAAGAGAGCAAGAGAAGAATGAGAGAGAGAGATGGGGGAGAGAAGAAGGAGAGAGAGAAGCAAGGGAGAGTGAGAGAAGCAAGGGAGAGTGAGAGAAGCAAGGGAGAGTGAGAGACGAAAGCGAGAGAGAGGAGAAACAGAGAGAGAGTGATGAAAGAGAGAAAGAGAAGAAACAGAGTGCAGAAAGGTAGTGAAGAAAGTGAGAGAGAGAAAAGAAAGAGAGAAAAGAAAGAGAAAGAGAGAGAAAGCGAGATACAGAAAAAGAAAGAAGAGCGCGAGAGCAAAGTAAGAGCGCGAGAGCGAGAGAGACGAAAGAGAGAGAGAGAAACAAGGATAGAGAGAGAAGAAATAGAAAGAGAGAGAGGAAAGAGAGAGACAAGGGAAAGAGAGACAGACAGAGAGAGAGAGAAGAGAAGAAAGAGAGAGAGGAGAATGATAGAGAGGAGATAGAGAGAGAGAAAAGAAAGAGAGAAGAAAGCAAAAGAGAGAGAATGTGAGAGACATAAAGTGAAAAAAGAGCGAGAGAGCGAAGTAAGAGAGAGAGAGAACGGAGAGAGAGAAGGAGATGAAAGACAGAGAGAGAGATAGAGAGAAAGAGACACAGAGAGAAAGAGACACAGAGAAAGAGAGACAGGAGAAAGAAAGAGAGAGAGAGACGAAAGAGAGAGAAAGCGAGATAGAGAAAGCGAAAAAAGACCGAAACAGAAAAAAGGGCGCGAGAGCGAAGAAAGAGAGAGAGAAGAAGGAGAAGAAAGACAGAGAGAGAGAAAGAGAGAGAGAAGAAGGAGAAGAAAGACAGAGAGAGAGATAAAGAGAGAGACAGGAGAAAGAGAGAGAGACAGAGACGAAAGAGAGGGACGACAGAGAAGAAGGAGCGAGAGAGAGAGA